CCGCAGGTTGACAACGGTTAAAAAAAACCAAACCAAACCAAACCAAAAAAAAAAAAAAAAAGGACAAGAAAAGGAAGAAAATGTGCTACAAAGTTTAAACTTCTCGCAAACTCCATTTAAATAAATGTGGGGGATTCTGCGAGCAGGAACCGCCTCCAAGTCTCCCGGTGAGCCCTGGGGCCACAGCAGGGGCACACTCCCACGGAAAAGCCTAAAGAACAGGGATCGCCCCCTCGGCCCCAGACCGGCGGCAGGAAACGCGGAACGAGGCCGCGGAGGGGAGCGGAGGGGCTGGGCTGGCCTGCGGGCAGAAGGAAAGGGCGGCAGGTCCCCCTGGCCGGACCGCGGAGAGGGCTGTGTGGTGTGTGTTCCGCCTCTGCTCCGGCCCTTCTCATCATGTTGCCCCCACGCTCAGTACAGGCAGCAAGCCCCCAAAGCCCTGCCAGAAGGACAATGCAACAAAAGAGACAATGGCATGAAAAAGGGAGAGAAAAAAGGAATTCGGGATGCTGGAGACTCTAAGAGAAGTGCTGTGATTCGCCGGAATTTATGGGTAAACCGGATCTATTTATAGTAAAATATTTTTTTCTTGGCTGACTGAAAAAGCCCTGAAAATATATCAGCCCTTTTATTAGTAAACAATCCCAATCACCAGCCTTTTTTCTCTGCCTTATGCAGTATTTATCACAACCGGTTTATAAAAATGAAATAAATGTGTTTACAGCTGTAACCATAGCCAAAATCGGTGCAGTATAATACCATAAATGCCTCTAGAGTGTTGTTGCTCTTGCCCAGCTCCCTGCAGTTTAAGAAACGGAACCTTTCCAGAGGGCCCTTAACCATCCCTGACTCCGCAGTAAATCAGAACAAATAGACATGCTGAGGGCACCGGGACAGATGCGTGGCGGAGAGAGCAGCCCTTCAGTTTTGGCTGACAGTAGAGAGGCCATGGAGATGGCATGGCATAAGGGCTGATCTAATAGCAGTAGGAGAGCTTTGCACCTAGGAGAGAGTGGTGTAGTTCATGTGGGAGGGAGGAGCTTGAGGGTGTGTAGGTGGGGGTGTGTGTGTATTCGTGAGCAGGGAGAAGTGGCTGGGTAGAAGAGCCTTTGGATTTCAAAACAAACAAGAACCAAGCGTGAGAACAGAAGGACATAAGAGTCGGCACCTGCAGAAATAGAGGGGGCAGTCGCTTCTGGGGGTGGAGGCAAGGGACATGAGTTTCCATCCATCGCCGAGGTTAACGTTTCACACGGTGCCTTTTGAAGGGTGTTGGTGCCGTCCTCTTTACCTGTAGACTGCTGAGTTGGTTCGGGACATGAAGGGTGTTGGTGCCGTCCTCTTTACGTGTAGACTGCTGAGTTGGTTCGGGACGGACGGATGCCGGGCCTTTACCTCCCCTTTCCTTTTCCGCATACGTAAACCGAATATGAGGCCGTAACCCACATCCCACCGCCCTCCTTCCCTCTTTGGCCAAGGACCCATTTTT